TGGAGGAGGAGATTGAAAATTGATGAAGATCAATCTTGACAAATCTAAGCACCGGTAGTCTCGTTAGATGTTGAGAAATCAGTTATAAAACCAAAATATTCCAAATCATTTGCAAAGGAAAGCCACAACAAAGCTAGCAAATGGTTGTATATACAGAAAGAAAATATGATGGACAGATATGGCCTAAGAAGTTATGGCTAGGAGATTGGGTTTTAAGCGGGACTAGTGTGACCCCTTTAATCTTTCTTGGAAACTTTGTTAAAGGATTATCTATACGGTACTATTTTTATATATATAGCAATTTGTAATGAAATGATTGAAGACTAGCAGGATGATGGCATAAGGGAACAGTTGGGTTCCGTATGTTCAAGGATCTAATGAAGTGGTGATTTCTCCAAAGAAGTTAGATTTAGTGTCTGTAATTTCTCAAGGGGAGAATTGATAAAGACCTTAATAATGGAAGAGAAATACAACAATATGATAAAGATTGGTACCCTATTTTGACTTGGATAGGTGTGGTGACCTGATGAGCTGCTATTAAACATAAACAAGGAATAGAAGAATTTAAAGAACAGATATTGCATAAGGACACATGGAGATAATGCAGGAGTGCCCGTCGGATCCACCGAGGTACTGTAATGAGACGACAGATACAAGGAGAAGAAGTGTTCCCAAATGAAGCTCAAAGCAGGGACTATGTAAGAAGTTATACAACAGAAATCTCTTATGCTCTTGATGAAAATAATAGGCGAAGACCTTTCCAATACATGTAAGAATGGAAAGAGAGCTGTTGTAGAAGTACCTAATTGAGGGAATGCAAACGCTAAGATGAAAGGTGAAGACACTAAAAGAAAGTTGGTGTAGGTGGAGCTATTAAGCAAAAAGGCGTAAAAGCTCCAAATATAGAAATTGAGGAGGAGGATTGCAATGAGTATACCACAACTTTCTTTTTCTATGTGATTAATGATAGTTATCTCTCCCATAGTCCACATGGTGGTAGAGAATTTTTGGAGCCACTTTGAAGCATCCTAGCTGAAGAAAGATATGACCACCTATGAAAGGAAAAAACACCTTAGAGAAGGTGTAAAGGCTGTGATATGTGCCCCAGTTCAAACTGCTTTATAACAACAGGCGAAGACACCTTTGAGAAGGTGTGAGGGCCGTGATAAAAGCCCCATTTTAGACCATTGTATGATGACTAGACTCTTGAGACTAAGAGCAAGAGACTCATGGAGAAGTAAGGCATGGTTCCTAGGGTGGAACAGAGGGTAGATGTAACCCCGGAATGAGTAAACTCTTGGAAGAGTAGTGAGCTCGTGATCACATTAAAATACTCTATGACTATCGCACTTAGAAATAGGAATTTCCATTTGAGGGGGGTGTTGTAAGCCTTCATGTGAGGCTTGATAAATGATTTTGGATTGAGCATAGTTGATATGCTCGAAGAGGAATGTTGTTTCAAAGACAAACGTTAACACTATTGAGATGTGATATGGGAGACCTGATTAGTATT